ATATATATATATATATATATATATAGTAATGGGACGTGGAGTATAGTGTGGGAGTGGAGTCAAGGGAATTGTAATAGATATGTATAATATGGGGGATAAGTGGGGCGGCAGATTGGGGGAGGGAGTTTGTCACTTTGAGGGGTAAAAAGTATAACTATTGCACTGTGTTGTACAGCTCAAACTAATTTTTAAAAAATGTATTTCACAATAAAAAAACAAAAAAAACCACCAAAAACAAAAAGGAGATAGAGCTTCAGAGAAGAGGTTAAGGATATGTGGACTTTTGCTCTTGTCTGGAATTCCAAAGAACATAGTAGAAGTGTTTGGGAAGGAGAGAGGAGAGGCTGACTTGGGCACTGTGTCAACTTAGAAAATGTGGGGATAGAGAAAGGTGGGATGAGGGTTTGGAAGGTAATGGATAAAAGGAATACTTTGCCTTGCAGCACGGCCTGAAGGAAATAGTTGATTGAGAAATGATAGGCTTAGACCTGTGTCTGCTGGAGGAAGTGAACTCAGGACTGTTGGTCCCAAAGGCTGTAACTTGGTGATTTGGTGACTGGTGAATCAGTGGAGATTCAGATAGGAACCCTGGATGTTGTGCACAAAAGATGCTGGGTAGCCCTTCAAAAGAACTTTTCAGTACTGACATGCCAGCAGAGAATGAGGCACTAGCCAGAAAAATTTCCATCAATCTTTTAAAGAACTTTCAATGCAGGAAACATTCCTTTCTGCCCTGGGTAAAGGAGAGATGATAGCATGGTGTAGTAGAAAGACTGAAATGTGAGACCTGGATTGTAAGGTCAGCTCTGCCACCAACTTAGACTGATCTTCAGCAAGTCAGTTATCTTCTCTGAGCCTTTGTTTTCCCATATATAAATCAAGGATTTGACTAGTAAATCTCTAAGGCTGTATGATTCTGGTGGGGGAGGGTATACTGATTTTCATTGGATTGAAGAAGGAAGAGCATGTTTTTGAGTCTCTCAGTTCAGTTTCTTTTCCTGTCACAGGCCAGTGTCTAGTCTGGGTCCAGTGTTCTTTCCCAAATTGTGAGAAATGGAGGCGACTTCATGGGAACATTGATCCCGCAATCCTTCCAAATAATTGGTCCTGTGAGCAGAATACAGGTAGAATGGAGTGGAAATGGTATTTATTTATTTATTTATTTATTTATTTATTTATTTATTTATTTATTTATTTATTTATTTATTTATTGTTCCCCCCTTTCTTTCCCTATATGTATCCTTTAGCTTAATTAAATATGTCATAGGAGCAGTTTCAACTCCAGGGGTCTTTGTAGTGTTTGGAATAGAGAAAGGGATCTTCCTGTCATATCAAGATGAATCTGGGGTAATGGGCTAGAAGAAGACACCCTGAAGAGTATTGTGGGAGGGGCATGGAATCTAAATGTATCTTCTGAGTGAATCCCATCTTCTTCTGCATTGGTCTGACCCTGCCAATCCTGATTAGATTATTGGTATTGGGTTGGTGGATAGGAAGGGATATGAGATATATGGAGAAAAGTAGGTGAAAGAGATCCAGTGGCTTAGAATTCTAAAATGTTTGAACTACTTGGAAAAGATTATGACGATCTAGTCCAGCCCAATTATTTTACAGATGAGGAAACAGAGTCTCAGAGAAATTACTGACATGATGTTACATAGATGGAAACAGGGTTAGACAATGTGGGATATAGGCAGAAATTTGGAATCTCTTTCTGTAGAGTATAAGGAGGCAGCACTCCTATTTCTTGTTCTAGGTTGTATTTCCTCCATGGATCTTTGTTCTTCCTCCATGCCCATCTCCCAGGTGCCCTTTTGGTCCCACCTGCTGCGTATACCAGTTTCTTTTTGGCCTATTCGCTTCCCTCATCTAGATTTTCACTTTATGAGGCTCTTTCCTTCCTTTCATTCCTTCTCTCTTTTGGCAGATTTGGAGTATAATCGCTGTGATATCCCTGAGGAGTCCTGGACAGGGTGTGAGAGTGATGTGGCCTATGCCTCCTACATCCCAGGATCCATCATCTGGGCCAAGCAATATGGTTACCCCTGGTAGGGCACCATAGCATAGTCAGAGCACCCTTCCTGAACTTGGGTGTGGTAGATTAAAGCAGAGAGGGAAGGAAATGGAAAACATTTATAATGGAATTGGTATCTGCTGTAGAAAAATCATGGGGTGGGGGAAAAGATAAAATACCAAGTTTGGAGACTTTGAAAGAATTTGTTTTCTAGAGGTTTCACAGGGAAGGTGGTATTTCCCTGGGGAAAAAAGGCCTTACAATTCTACCCTGTGTGAGTAGAAAGAGGAGGGTGGCTCGAAAGCATTTTTGAAAACATTGAGATATGAGAGATATACAAAATACCCCCTTGGAAGGGTAGTATGGATAGTTTCTTCTTTGGATATGTCCTTAGTCAGAAGATTTTGCTCTCAGGGTTGCCGGAAGGCCTAGAAGGATAAGTACTTTTACTAGGAAGATTCTGAGTTTCTTTGTACATTGGTGGAAGTCACTTCAATCACTTGGTAGTGGCCACTGGGGGGGATTGACAGAAGGAGGTCTACCTTTGAGATCCTTTGTTTGCAAAGCACATTGCTTCTTTCTGTACATGTATATTGGTGAGTTTGCATGCTATTCATCTAACCCTTTCCCTTCTGTCCCCTATTCCTATCTGTCTTCTCTAGGTGGCCAGGCATGGTAGAATCTGATCCTGACCTAGGGGAGTATTTTCTTTTTGCTTCACATCTTGATTCCCTGCCGGTGAGTTTTCCTGGTTCAGGGTATTAGGTGCTTAGGTCAAAGTAATGAACAAATCCATCCTAATAGATGTACAGAGTTAGAAACATAGATACAGCCAGCAGATATGAACAGAAATAGATATCTAGTTAGAGTGACAAACACAGAAATAAGTACTCACATATGGAAACAAACTTATATCGAATTAAATATTTATTTATTACTAGGACATTTATGGGTTTGATAAATATGCTTTGGTTAGGATTCCTGAGGTCGGAATGGAAGAACAATAGATTGAGATGGGTCAGGCTTAAGGGAGCAGGTGAGGCCCAGACCTCCTTCCTTGTGACTCCTCAATTCTTTCCCTGCCTTTTCTGGTTAGAAGGCCAAAGGAAGGAGGACAAAAGGCCATAACAGAACCAACTTTTATTTCAGTCTAAGTACCATGTGACATTTTTTGGAAAAACAGCCTCTCGTGCTTGGATCCCAGTCAACATGCTAAAGAACTTCAAGGATCTGTCTTTGGAGCTAGCTGGAGTGGTGAGCAACCCTTGGGGCTTAGTTGTGATACAGAAGCTGAAAACTAAATCTTCCCTTCATTAAAAACCTGATTTTCTCCCAGGGGAAGGTATGTTGGGAGAAAGTCCCCTGTCTGACCAAGTGTGCAAAGGTGAGATTAAGATTATTCATGAGGGGCTCCTCTGTCTACCAGGACTGCAGCAGGATAATGATTTTTCTTAGTCTCCTTCCCTGTTTGCAGATGGGAGGCCTTCCTGAAGACTCTGGTTTCCTATAGTTTAGCCAAAGCATATGTGGCAGAAATGAGGGCACAGATTAACTCAGAGAGTTTTTCAGTGTAGGCACTACTGACATTTTGGTCCAGATGATTCTTTGTTGTGGAGGGCTATCCTGTGCATTGCAGGATGTTTAGCAGCATCTCTGAGCTCTGTTATCATCTAGCCAGTAGCAATCCTCACCCCTAATTGTGAAAACCAAAAAGTTGTCTCTAGACATTGCCAGATGTCTTCTGGGGGGGGGGGGGCGCAAAACCTACTCTGGTTGAAACCACTATATTAACTAAATAATAGTTCCCCTCTAATCACTTTGGGTTTGACCAGCCTTACAAATGAGCAGAGGCCCAGCAGCTTATGGGCCCTAGAAAATCAGGCAGTGAGTATTAAATCAAACAGCTGGATCTAAAGAAATTTGTGAGAAGCTTAAAAGTGTCATCATCTGAACTCCTTTCCTTTTGAAATGTCCATGGGATTTAACCAAAATGTTGGTTGAAAATATTTCTAGAAATTGGGGAAAGGTTTGTTGGGGGGTTGAGAAGGAATTGTGTCTCTGAGCTCAAAAGATTAATAAGAGTATCATATCAGTACCAGAAACTGGAAATAAATGTAATTGAAGATAATGTCTGGTGAGTAGCAGCATGATGTGGTCACTTCTCTAATATTTATCATTGACTCTAATCTTCTTCCATTTCAGAGAAAGTACAAGAACAAGGACTGCATCCACAAATTGGGGGCAGCCGTGATAATGGCTCAAGAGGCAGAACAGATCAGTATTCAGGTGGGAGAGTGTTCAGATCACATACTTGCTCCTCTTTGGGACTTGGGACCCAAAGCAAACCATACACTCTCTACTTCAGAAAACTGGTTTGTCCTTCCATATTACACAGTGTTAGTCTTAGAACTGCAGAGTCTTTTCTTCCCAGGCCAAATTCCCTTGATTCCTTAACTCATCCATTCTGTTCCCTACCTTTGGACAAATTGGATCTTCTCTCAGTGCAGACAGAGACAGTTTGTGGTAAGAGGCATTATACCTCCCTATTTAATTTTAAGTCTCAGATGTATGTACCCTAACATTTCTTTTATGCAGAGTCAGTTTTTACCCTCAAATTCTGCCTTTGGGGGTGGGGTGGAGAATGACAAACAGTGAATTTTTCCTTCCTAGTTATTTACTGAATTACAAATACACAGGAAAAAGAGATTATAGGGGCCGGCTGAGTGGTGCGTTGGTTAAGAGCTGGCTTAGAATGCCAGAGGGCCCCAGTTCAGATCCCACATATGAGGGCCAGTGACACTGCCCTCTATAGCTAAGATGCTATACAACAGCTTAACTTGGAACTGGGCTGCCGTGAGTCGCTGGCGATGGCGTGGGCTGCAGCCCCTGTGGCAATGGGTTGCCATGGGCTACCGTGTGTAGCCAGCAGCCAGCGTGAGCAGCCAGCAGCTGCAGTGAGCGGCCGTCCAGAAGCCGGCGACTGATCTGCCTCGCCCGGGAAGAGCACAATGATGGTGCCAACTTGGGCTAGTGAAGCAAAGTCTTCCACAACTAGACTGAAGAACAAAAGGACAGCAACTTGTGTGTTCCCCTTCCCCCAATTCCCCAGCGCTGTTCCCATCCCCCAATTCCCCAATAAAAAATTTTAAAACAAAAAAAGAGATTATAACATTATATAATATTATATAATAATGTTATTTTACTATAATATAATAATCTTAATAAAGATCTAGCTAAATCTAATGCGAAATTTCAAGTGAAAATGGTATATGAATATACCATTTTGGAGTATGAATACAAATTCTATAACTAAAACCTCAAAGACAGAGGGCAACAATAACCTCTGGGAGAGTAGTGGATGATGCTTTTGTTTCTCGGTTTCCTCAGGAACGGGTTAACTTGTTTGGTTTCTGGAGCCGATACAGCAGATCTGGCAATAGTGCAGAAGGAAAAGGTAAGATCAGTAGGAAGATGAGGACTAAAAAGGGAGAGGAGGAATTCCTTTATGAGGGCAGCAACTGAATCTTTTCTTTATATCTGATGTCATCAGCTTAGTTCTGGATTCTATAATACCAGGCTCTCCATTGACCAAGTGTCTGGGATGGATAGATGTATGGAGGGGTGGAGAGAGGAATGGAGGAAAAAAATGGGGTGAGAAGGGAGGGTGCATGTTGAATAGTGATGGGACTTTGAAAAGTGTGGAACCGTGATAATCTAGGGTCATGTTTTATGGAGAAAATACCATTTGGACATGAAAAACAGTTAGAAGACTCATTCTCTGAGGTCAGCTCCATTAACTCATCAACTGTTTTATTGGATAAATGATTTAACCTTTCCTTCCTATTCCTGTTCTAGACTTAATGCTCTCTGGGGCTAACACCTCAGATTCCTCCTTGGAGAGAGAAGAGAAAGAGTCCGAGTTGGAGGAGGAGGAAGAAGAGGAAAAAGTAAGATTGATCTTTCCGAATTCTTTTAGGAGATTCCTATAGGGCAACTGGTTGGCTTGGTTTATATTTACTAAGGAACAGTCCTGTCCCTGTCTCAGGGTAGCCGCGAATGGAAACAGAGAGTATTCTTTTTCCTCAGTTACTCTCTCAAATATATCACATCTCTAGGAATCTATTTCTTGATTATCATCTCAGTTCCTACTGTAGTTCTTTGGTTCTTACTGGAGCAATTTCAGAGATTAGCAGGTTGCCTCTCTTCACTCTCCCTTCTCCCCTATGTGGAAACTTAGGATATTCATTCACTTGTTTCCTAAGTCTCTTTTCAAGCACATGAAATATAGATTTATTTTTCGTATTTAAAGAGTTGTTTGTTTGTTTGTTTTTATAATGGTGTTAAGTTCACAGCAAAATTGAAAGGAAGGTACAAACATGCATAACCTTCCCCATTATCAACATTCCCTGCCAGAGTGGTGCATTTTGTTTGTTTGTTTGTTTGTTTTTGAGGATTTAAAAAAAATTAGTTTCAGATGTACAAAACAATGTAATAGTTAGACATTTCACCCCTCACAAAGTGACAACCCCCTCCCCCAATCTGTTACCCCCCTGACATCATATATAGCTGTTACAGTTCCTTTGACACTACTCCCTATGCTGTACTCCATATCCCATGACTATATATATTTTATTTTATTTATTTATTTATTTTGTAAAGATTTTTTAAATTGGGGAATTGGGGGATGGGAACAGCGCTAGGGAATTGGGGGAAGGGGAACAGACAAGTTGCTGTCGTTTTGTTCTTCAGTCTAGTTGTAGAGGACGTTGCTTCACTCGCCCAAGTTGGCACCATCATTGCGCTCTTCCCGGGTGAGGCAGATCAGTCACCGGCTTCTGGATGGCGGCTCACGCTGGCTGCTGGCTGCTCACGCTGGCTGCTGGCTACACACGGTAGCCCATGGCAACCCACTGCAGCAGGGGCTGCAGCCTACGCAGTCGCCAGAGACTCAAGGCAGCCCAGCTCCAGGTTGAGCTGTTGTTCAGCATCTTAGCTGTAGAGGGCACTGTCACTAACCCTCATATGTGGGATCCGAACCGGGGCCCTCTGGTGTCCCAAGCCAGCTCTTAACCAATGCGCCACTCGGCCGGCCTGACTGTATATATTTTAAATTACAGTTAACATTCAATATTATTCAGTTTCAGCTTCGGGTGTACAGTGCAGTGTTCCAGAGTGGTGCATATTTTATAATCAGTGAACCTACATTGACACATTATAATCACCCAAAGTTCATAATTTACATTAGGGTTCTCTCTTGGTATTATACATTCTATGGGTTTGGACAAATGTATCAGTGACATGTATCCATCATTATAGTATCATACAGAGTGTTTGCACTGCCCTAAAAATCCAGTTTGTTCCACCAATTCATCTCCCCCGCCTCCATACTCCCCAAACTCTAACAACCACTGATATTTTTACAGTCTTCATAGTTTTGCCTTTTTAAGAATGTCATATGGTTGGAATCATACAGTATGTAGGCTTTTCAAACTGGCTTCTTTCACTTAGAATTATGCATTTAAGGTTCCTCCATGTCTTTTCATGACTTGATAGCTCGTTTCTTTTTTTTTTTCTTTTTGCTGAATAATATTTCCATTTTCTGGATGTACCACAGTTTATTTATCCATTCACCTACTGAAGGATATCTTGATTACTTCCAAGTTTGAACAATTATGGATAAAGTTGCTATAAACACCTGTGTACAGGTTTTTGTGGGAACTTAAATTTTCAACTCCTTTGGGTAAATACCAAGGAACTCGATTGCTGGGTCATATTGTATGACTATGTTTAGTTTTGTAAGAAATCACAAAACTGTCTTCCAAAGTGGCTGTATCATTTTGCATTCCCACCAGCAATGAATGAAAGTTCCTATTCCACATTCTTGCCAGTATTTGATGTTGTTAGTGTTTTGGATTTTGGCTATTCTAATAGGTGTGTAGTGCTGTCTCAGTGTTGTTTTAATTTTCATTTCCCTGATGACATATGATGCTTAACATCTTTACATATGCTTATTTGCCATCTGTATATCTTCTTTGATGAGGAGTCCATTAAGGTGTTTGGTCCATTTTTAATTGGGTTATTTTCCTGTTGAGTTTTATGGGTTCTTTGTATATTTTATTTAATAATCATTTATCAGGTGTGCCTTTGGCAAATATTTTTTCTCAGCCTGTAGCTTGTCTTCTCATTCTCTTGACGTTGTCTTTCATGGAGCAGAAGTTCTTAATGTTCATGAAGTCCAGCCTATTAATTATTTCTTTTATGGATTGTGCCTTTGGTATTGTATATAAAAAGTCATTACTATATTCAGGTCATCTAAATTTTCTCCATGTTATTAACTCCATGATACGATATTTTCTAGGAGTTTAATAGTTTTGCATTTTACATTTAGATCTGTAATACATTTGGAGTTAATTTTTGTGAGGGGCATAAGATCTAAGTTTAGATTAATTTTTTTTTTTTTTGCACGTGGATGTCCAGTTCTTCCAGCACAATTTGTTGAAAAGGCTATCTTTGTTCCATTAAATTGCCTTTGCTCCATGTCAAAGATAAGCTGACTATATTTATGTGGGTCTATTTCTGGGCTCTCTATTCTGTTTCACTCACCAATTTGTCTATTCTTTTGCAAAAACCACAATGTCTTGATTACTGTAGCTTTATAGTAAGCCTTGAAGTTGGCTAGGGTTAGTTCTCCAACTTTTGTTTTTCTCCTTCAATATTGAGTAGGCTATTCTGGATCTTTTGCCTTTCCACATAAACTTTAGAATCAGTTTGTTGATATCCACAAAATAACTTGCTGCAGTTTTGACTGGAATTGTATTGACAATATAAATCAAGCTGGGAAAAACTAACATCTTGACAATATTGAGTTTTCCTATCCATGAATATGGATTATCTCTCAATTTATTTAGTGCTTTGATTTCATTCATCAGTTTTGTAGTTTTCCTCTTATTGATCTTGTACATACTTTGTTAGATTTATACCTAAGTATTTCATTTTTTGATGCTAATATAAATGGTATTGTGTCTTTAATATAAAATTCCACTTGTTCATTGCTGACAAATAGGAAAACTATTGACTTTTGTGTAGTATTATCCTTATATTCTGCAACCTTACTATAATTGCTTAATAGTTCCTGGAGTTTTTCATTTTTTTATTGTTAGTTTCGGGTGTACAGAACAATGCAATAGTTATCCTTTTCACCCTTCAGACAGAAGCAACCTCCCTCCCCCATCTACTGCCCTCCCACCCCCAATATCATACTTATCTATTACAATTCCATTGACTCCATTCCCACACTCTACTCCACGTCCCGTGACTATATGTATATATAATTATAGTTGACATACAATGTTATTCAACATCAGCTTCAGAAATACAGTGCGGTGGTCAGGCCTCTACACCGACTGTGAAGTGGTCTCCCTAATAAGACATGAGTCCATCTGGCCCCCTATAGTTCTGGAATTTTTTGTTGATTCTTTTGGATTATCTACATAGACCATCATGTCATCTGCAAACAAAGACAGTTTTAGTTCTTCCTTCCTAATCTCTATACTTTTTATTTCCCTTTATCTTAGTGCATTAGCTAGAACGTTCAATATGATGTTGAAAAGGAGTGGTGTGAGGAGACATTCTTGTCTTGTTCCTGATCCTTTTGGGAAAGCTTCTAGTTTCTTACTATTAAGTATAATGTTAGTTGTAGGTTTTTTGTAGATATTCTTTATCAAATTGAGGAATTTCCTCTTTATTCCTAGTTTACTCAGAGTTTTTGCCATGAGTGGGTGTTGGATTTTGTCAAATGCTTTTTCTGCATCTATTGATATTATCATGTGATTTTTCTTTTTTAACCTGTTGATGTGACGGGTTACATTAATTGATTTTCAAATGTTGAATCAGCTTTGCATGCCTTGGGTAAATCCCACTTGTTAATGGTGTATATTTCTTTTTATATATTGTTGGATTAGATTTGGTAATATTTTATTGAGGATTTTTGCATCTCTCTTCATAAGAAATATTGGTCTGAGTTTTCTTGTAATATCTTTGTTTGTTTTTGGTGCTGGTCTCATAGGATGAGTTAGAAAGTATTTTCTCTGCTTCTATCTTCTGAGAGAGATTATAGAGAATTTGTAAATGTTTGGAAGATTCACCGGTGAGCTCCTCTGGGCATGGCTTTTTTTGTTTTGGAAAATCATTAATTATTGATTCAATTTCTTTAATAGATATAGACCTATTCAGATGGTATATTTTTTTCTTGTGTGAGTTTTGACAGATTGTGTCTTTTAAATAATTGGTCCATTTAATCTTGATTATCAAATTTGTGGGCATAGAGTTATTCGTAGTATTCCTTTATTATCCTTTTAATGTTCATGGGATCTATAAAGATGTCCCCACTTTAATTTCTGATATTAGTAATTTGTTTTTTCTCTCTTTTTTTCTTAATTAGTGTGGCTAGAGGCTTATCAATTTCATTGATTTTTTTTCTAAGAGCCAGCTTTTAGTTTTGTTGATTGTTTTCTACTGATTTCCTCTTTTCAATTCCATTGATTTCTGCTGTAATTCTTATTATTTCTTTTCTTCTCCTCCTTTGTATTTAATTTGCTCTTCTTTCTCTAGTTTCCTAAGGTTGAAACTTCGATTATTGATTTTAGATCTTCTTTTCTAATATAAGCATTCAATGCTATATATTTCCCTGTAAGCACTGCTTTCACTACATCCCACAAATTTTGATAAGTTGTGTTTTCATTTTCATTTAGTTCAATATATTTTTAAATTTCTGTTGAGATTACTTCTTTGACCTATGTGTTAATCAGAAGTATGTTATTTAACCTTCACATATTTTGGGATTTTCCAGTTATCTTCTTTTACTGATTTTGAGTTTAATTCCATTGTGATCTGAGAGCAGACATTCTATGATTTCTATCCTTGTAAATTTGTTAAGCTGTGTTTTATGGTCCAAAATGTGGTCAACCTTGGTGAATGCTCCCATGTAAGGTTGAAAAGAATGTGTGTTCTACTGTTGTTGGGTGAAGTAGTCTACAAATATCAATTACATCCAGTTGGTTGTTGGTATTGTTGAGTTCAACTATGTCCCTACTTATATTCTGCCTGCTGGATTTGTTCATTTCTGGTAGAGAGGTGTTGAAGTCTCCAACTATGATATTGGATTTAACTATTGGGTTGTCGGAAAAGTCATGATGTATGTTTGCAACAGATGGCGCTAGTTCATTTTTGGAAGTGCTAGAGTCATTTGCATCTCTGTTATTGCTATGTCATTTGACAGCTGATAGTTCTAGCTTCATTCTTTAAAAAAATTGAGTGATTTGGTTGAGTTTTGGAGGTTGTACAAGTTGAAGATGGAAGACCAAACTGCTGCATTTTTGCCATATTTTAATGTTTTACTTCCATAAAGGGAAGAACATGCATCAAGCTTGTGAAAAGTTGCATAAAGTTTACAGTGACAATGCTCTATAAGAACATCAGTGCCAGCAATGGTTCACAAAATTCCATGCTGGTGATTTTGATCTCAATGACGCTCCTCGGTCAGGGAAGCCCACCAAAGTTGATGACAACAAAATAAAGGCATTAATTGAGTCAAACCCATGTTACATGACACGAGAGATTGTAGAAACATTGAACCTCCATCATTCAAGCGTTCATGACCACCTGAAGAAGCTGGGATACATAAGCAAGCTCGATATTTGGGTTCCGCATGAACTCAAAGAAGTTCATTTGACGGCGTGTATGAACATCTGCAATATGCTTATTAGACGTGAGGAAAACGATCCTTTTTTTTTGAAGCGACTGATAACTGGTGATGAGAAGTGGATTGTTAACAACAATGTGGTGTGCAAATGGTCTTGGTCCCGACGTGGTGATTCGCCTCAAACAACATCGAAAGCAGACATTCATCAGAGGAAGTTATGCTATCAGTGTGGTGGGATTTTAAAGGTGTCGTGTTTTTCGAGCTCCTACAAAGGAACCAAACAATCAGTTCAAATGTGTACTGTCGGCAGTTGGACAGTTTGAACAAATTCATCATCCAGAAATGTCCAGAGCTTGTTAATTGTAAAATAGTTGTATTCCATCACGACAATGTGAGACCACACACAAGTTTGATCACCCATCAAAAATTATTAGAGCTTGGATGGGGTGTGTTGCCACATCCACCATACTTGCCTGACCTTGCACCATCAGACTTCCACTTGTTTCGCTGTCTTCGAAACTTGCATGGTATAATGTTCAATTCAGATGAGGCTGTAAATCGGCATCTTGTTCAGTTTTTCACAAGTAAAGACAGGTCCTTTTGTGAACCAGGAATTATGAAGCTCACTGAAAGATGGCAAAAGGTTTTTGAACAAAATGGGCAATATATCATTGATTGAGCTTTGTTCTTTATATAAATAAATGACCTTTGAAAAACATAGACAAAATACGTCATGACTTTTCCAAAGACCCAATATTTCTCTTTGCAGTTCTGTCAGTTTTTGTTTCATGTAGTTGGGTGCTCTGGAGTTAGGCACATACACTTTAAGGATTGTTGTGTGTTTTTAGAGAACTGAGCCCTTTATCATTATGTAATGCCCTTTTTTATCCCTGATAACTTTCCTTGCTTTGAGGTTTACTGTGTCTGAAATTAATATAACTACTTCTGCTTTCTTTTAATTAGTGTTATTATGCTATATTTTTCTCCATTTATTTACGTTTGTAATCTATCTGTGTCTTTACATTTAAAGTGGGTTTCTTGTAGACAGCATACAGTTGGGTCTTGTTTTTTCATCTACTCTGACAATCTCTTTTAATTGGTGCATTTAGACTGTTGACACTCAAAATAATAATTAATATAGTTGGATTAATATCTACAATATTTATTACCATTTTCAATTTGTTGCCCTGTTCTTTCTTCCTGTTTTTGTCTTCTACTCTTTTTCTGCCTTTTGTGGTTTTAAATGAGTGTTTTATATTCCATTTTCTCCCTTTCCTTAGCATACCAGGTTAGGTGTTTTTTCCTTTGACTTCTTTCAGGACTTCTTTATCTTTGATTTTCTGTAGTTTGAAAATGATGTGCCTAGATGTAATTTTTTGGCAAAAAGAACAACTTTTTGTTGTTCTCTGAGCTTCCTGGATCAGTGGTTTGGTGCCTGACATTAATTTAGGGAAATTCTCAATCATTGCTTTTAATGTTTCTTCAGTTCCTTTCTCTTTGTTTTCCTCCTTTTGGTATTCCCTCTATGCTTATGTTGCACATTTTATAATTGTCTTACAATTCTTGGATATTTTGGTCTTTTTTTTTTTCAGTTTTTGTTCTCTTTGCTGTCCAGTTTTGAAGGTTTCTGTTGAGATACCCTCAAGCTCAGAGATTCTTTTCTCAGCCATGTCTGGTCTACTAATAAGCCCATCAAAGGCATTCTTCATTTCTGTGTTTTTGATCTCTAACATTTCCTTTTTATTCTTTTAAAGGAATTCCATCTCTCTCCTCACATTGCCCACCTGTCCTTGCATGCTGTCTGCTTTATCCATTAGAGCCCTTTGCATATATCAGGGGTGTTAAACTCAATTAAAACACGGGCCATTTGGTGCAACAGGCAAGATTCACGCAGGCCACATCACATTTACAAATTTTGTTAAATTTATATTCTGAAGTGAGGATTCAGGAATATGGATAGGATAATTAAAACACTATATAATTGCTTTTATTTAAACATTTACTTTATTTAATGTATTTATAAAACTAAAATTATTCTTTTTTACCCGAGTGCTCTTTTTAACCTTTTTGCTATTGGGATCTGTTTACATTACGTGACACTGAGAGTGGCAGACATATCGCTTCCAAACGTTGCCGGAACTGAGTCAGCCCGTTTATACAGACCCCCAGGAAAGGCACTGGGCCATGTGTATACTTGTCTTCAGTAGTTAAAGGGTTAACGAGGGAATTGTGTGTACGGTATTGCCTCGATCTCCCCTAAGCGCTATTTTCTTCATAACAATTTTTTCTATTTTCATTTTATTTCAGAGCATTGTGGGCCACAAAAAATTACCTCGAGGGCCGCATGCGGCCCGCGGGCCGCCAGTTTGACACTCCTGGCATATATCATATTTGCTTTAAATTTTCAGTCTGATAATTCCATGCCAGGTTTGGTTTTAATACTTGCCCTTTCTCTTCAAATTGTGGTTTTTGCTTTTTGATATACCTTGTAGTTTTGTTTTCAATTGCCAGACATGATATACCTGGTTAAAGGACCTGCTGTCAATATCTTTAGTAATGTGGTGGTGAAATGTCAGGGGAAGGGAAGTGTTCTATAGTCCTATGATTAGGTCTTAGTCTTTTAATGAACCTGTGTCTCTGGACTGTGAACTTCACAAGTGCTTCTTAGTTTAGTTTAGTTTTGTTTTTTTCCCTCCCTTTAGGTGGGACAGGATGGTTAGATTGGACTGGAATTGGGTATTTTCCTCCCCCAGGATCTGATTTCACCCCATAGGTTAGGCTCTGGTTAAATAGTTTTCCCTGAGGACAGACCTTTTTAAGAAAAACAGAGTGCTCTGGTGTATTTCAAAATGTTTCCTTTTTCTCTCCCCCTGGGTGAAACATGAAGGGATTTTTCTTTGATTATTTTCCATAAGAACCTGGTAGGGATCCCGGAGGTAAAACTCACAAAAGTCTGAGAGTCCCCCGTTACTGCATCTCCCTGGAGTTTTTAACCCTCAGACTTGTTTGCACTGAGCCTCCAACAATTCATTTATTGCTGTTGAGGTTTTCCTACCCTGGCACTGGTTCTTGGGGTGGTTTCTGCTTGTGAGTCTCTGCTCTGGTAAGCTATTACTTCCCGTATTTGCCTCTGTCTCTTCAGCCATGAAGGCAGCAGTTTGCCCTATGTCCTCACTCCTCTTACAGATCCAAGAAGAGTTGTTAATTTTTAGTCTGTTTAGCTTTTTAGTTGTTAGAACAGAGTGGCAACTTCCAAGCTCCTTACATATAGAACTAGAAACTGAAGTTCTGAAATATAGATTTTTCACTTTCTCTTTTAATTTTTAATTTACCATTTCTTTCATTTTATAGACTAGCTTTATTTCCTTCTCTTGTGCAGAAAGCTTTGAATTGACTAATATAAAATAGAATGGGAAGGGCGAACATTTTTATCTTCTTTTCATTGATTAAAACAGTATCCGGCTCACAGAACCTAATTTGACTCCCTTATGTGCACCCATCATTTCTGTAGCATTCCACTGTTAAAAACACAATTATGTGACTTCATTTATCTTTTTAAATTTTTCTCCCCCATCTTTAGGTCCTAACTTTGCCTACTCCCAAGTCAGCCAAAGTTCAGACAAAAAAACCTAATGCAAGAGGTAAGCAAGCCAACTAGAAATGGGATAGTTAAGGCAGGGCTGAAGCAGAGAATGGAAGAGGCCTGCAGGTAGCTGGATTTTACTGACTGTCTCAGCTCCAGAACCTGAGAAAATAGGCAAGACTCATTGCTAGTGTAATTGGAGAAGCTGTAGCCTCCTCACTTCTGTATATTGAACTATAAAATCTTAGGTTAAAGATGGAATGAATGTTTTAAATTCTTAGCCAAGAATGATGACTTCCTGGAGAAGGTAGGCTCTGAGGAGAATCATAAACAGAAGAAGATCCAATGAGGGGGTGGGGGAGAAATATTTGGGGGAAAAAAAGGAACCAAGAGAATTTACTAGATTAAGATTAGCAAAAGCTGCAGGGTAGAAGACTTAAATGTGGGGAGTTCCATGGACCCTTTCCAAGCTGTCATTTAGAGAAAAATAAACAAATGTCCTTCATGACTGGGGGTTGGGGATGATGCAGGCATAGCAGCTAGACCAGATGGGACCCCGCAAAGGATGATCGTGAAGAGACCTCTGGTAAATGAACCTGCTGCTGCTCCTGTACCCATAACGGGAAGCAAAGAAGTACACGGGAATTCAGATCCTGAACAGCCAGGTAAGGCTCTAGACTTCAGAAAACTGGGGGAAATGAGGTTCACGTCTGCATCGCTCCTCCCTGGATCCTTTTTGAACAATTGTATTACTTTTAATTACTTTAAAAAGAACAAAAATTAGGCCCAAACGGCATCTCTCAGATTGTAGAATGCAGCACATACTATGGAAACATAATGGTTATTGATTTGATTTGATCTGGGAACAGGAGAATATAAGGAGGTGGGAACTAACATTTACTGAGTGTTGCTATGTACTGGCTAGATAGATACTTCCATGCTTGTTCTCTTTAATTTTTTCAATATTTCTATGACTGGATATTTGCCATTTGAAAGAGTTTAAAATTTGCTCAAGACTCATGTCTAGCATATAGCCAATCCATGGCTTGAATCCAGGACTTTCTGACTCCAAAGCCTATTTTTTTTTCTATTGAGAAAGGTAATCTTTTCCAGAGATTTTTTGGAAATAGAAATTTAGCAGTTTGATTTGTAAAAGGTAAGGACAGATGACCTAATAAGACTCTCAGTTTTGTCACTGTTTCATTTAGGCGCTAAGAAAAAATTTAAAACTCCCCAGAGCAAGGTCTCAGTAACCAGCTTGTCTGAAGAGAAAGAGGTTAGAATGGTGCCAAAGGGCCTGATCGCACCATCTCATCAAGGGACCTGTCCTGCTATGGGGAAAGAAGGGCCTGGACCCCAGGAGCCACTGCCTCAGGATGCTGGAAGCTTCCCCTCCGACGATGAAGCCTCCAGTGACCTGGACCTGGAGCAACTCATGGAAGATATTGGACAAGAATTGGAGCAGAGGGTGGAGCCACAGTATAGAGATGACGCAGAGGAGTTCACCTTCTTTGAGGAGTAGTTCTGTGCTCTTGTGTTCTCTCACCTCGTTCCCTGGGAGCAGAAGAGAGAGCCTGTCAGAGGGTCCCTGAGAAGTTTTGCAATTGGTCATTGACTACAAGGTTAATTGGCTAAAGTTAGAGTTGTGCGGTTTATGTGTTAATAAAATATGTTACCTGCTTAATTGATTTGGTTTGTCTCTAACTACATGCTTCCTTTGGCTTCTCTCCCTACTCCGTCATGTCACTGTGGCACATCATCGTTTCTGCTGGGAGGCCTGCACAGTATAGGAATCTGGGGAGGCAGTGACACCTGAGTCCTGGGAGAAGGACATCGAGACAGGCAGGTCTCAGTTCAAATCCTGGCTCACCACTTACTAGCTGTGTGGCCTTGGGAAAAACACCATAACCGTCCTGGCTCCTCGTTTCATGCCTCAAATGAGTACTTCCTATACCATATTCAGGGATGTTCATGAATGTTTAAATGAGGTAATGCATGTAAAGGCTTAACACGATACATGCCAATTATCATTGTAAGGGAAATAGAATGGTTAGACTCGGGGGCAGACCTTGGGTTCCAGGCTGCCTACCTGTGTTTGGGGACTTAGTGTTTCCAGGCCTGAGGCTGTCACTGGATAGAAGTGCTAGAGGAGGGATCTTATAGTTCACTTTTGGTGAGAAGGACAGATGTTGAAAGTGACATCAGCTTTCTCCTTAGATGCAGTCAGGCAAATCTTACAGGTATTTTTATTTTGTGGGCAAGAGCAGGAGGTGGAAGAGGGAATTGGAGCAGATGGCTGTTTCTCTCAGGTCCTTGGTGGCTTTCGACCCCTGCTGGCTTCTGAGTCGTCTGTGTCTGCCTGGGGTCATTATGGGAAGTGGTGATCCCTCTGTTCAGCTTACTCTAAGGAGGTCACCATTCAGGCCCACTCCTTAGGTCTTCAGGATAGAGTATAGAGTCTCTTCCTGGGGGTTCTCATGGGCAGGGTGGCAGGGAGGTGCTGATGGCGGCGAAGTCAAGCTGGACAGGGCAAGGGAGGCATAGAGGATTCTGTCATCCTGGGTAAGAACAGAAAGTGAAAGGGATTAGACAATAGAGGGGGAGCTGCCCCATGTTACAGCAGCAATCCCACACCTGGGTGCCTTGCTGATATGACAGTCCCTCTATTTCTTCCACCCCACCTTCTCCAAGCTTCCCTTTAATTCTTTCAGGCCCTAGTCTGAATTGCTTACCTTGGGGTCCAGCTTGGGGTCTCTGTGTTGTCCTAGAAAGAGAAGATATGCTGGGGTCAGGTGGCGTGGCAGTCAGGGTAGAGAAATGGGCAGGGGGGCTCAGTAGTGAGGTTATCTACTAGGTCAGGACCAGGGTTATGTGAGAGGGATGGGTGAGGCATGGGAAAGAGGAGAATCTGGAGGGGCACATGTGTGGGGAGGGAGCATGTGGGGAAGAAGGAAGGGCCAAGGTGAAGAGTGATGGTAGGACTGACCTTCATTCCCAATGTTCTCATACTTCTCCTCAGTGTTTTGGAAGGATCCCCTGCATGAAAACAAAAGGGTGGGAAATGGGTTCGAGGATTAAGAGTTAAAACCTGCATTGGGCTGGTTCTCTTTTGAGAGACGCCGCGACCTGCTTGGACATACTCAGAAGATACGAGCAAAGGTTCCAGGCCCTCAGAAGGAGGTTGCCTAGAAGAGGCAATTTGGGTGTAGCCCAGGAGAGGTTCCTGAGTCCCAGCTTAAAGTGGATTGTTCTAGAGAAGCACTTTTGTTGAAAGGGGGCACAAGGAGGAGAAATTGAAAGGGAGAGCTCCTGTCCTCTCTGTTGGCACTGGCTCAGTTCAAACTGGAGAAGGAAACCAGCGAAGCTAATCTCAGGTCCTCTGGGTGGCTGCTCAGGTCTTGGTCTCCAGGAGGAGACACCATTCTGGGAGGGGACCCGAGAAAGGCAGCTGACAAGAGACAGCGAGGGAGAGAAATGAGGGATGGGGCTGTGGGAAGGGAAAGTGTGGAAATAGGAAGAAGGGTGGAGAAAAGGAAAGCTGTGGAGGGTGAGGAGGACCAGCGCTCAGGAAAGGAAGGGGAGCCCGGGTGCAGAGGAGAGAAGGCCAGACTGGGAACTGAGTGGGGAAGGCGCTCTGAGAAAAGGCAGATGGTAGAGGAGCTGGAGGCAGAGGGTTCTTGTGGCCCCTTGGGGCGTGTCACTGGGGAAAAGGGAGATTGCATGATAAGCAAAAGCAGGAAAAATGTGGAAGAGGTAGACGTGTTTGGGAAGGATGATGTTCAAGGTGGAAAGGTAACAGGATGTACAGAAGGAAAAGCTTTAGAAATGGCAACAAAAGGCGGAGGAAAGTGGATACCAGAGAAAGACTCAAGGGAGACATTCTGGGAAAGAATCAGAGGAAGTGCTAGGACCCTTAGGTGCACTGTTCTTGGGGTTTTTTTTGTTTGTTTTCTTTTTTTTTTTAGGAGTCGGAGCCTCAGGAAGTGAAGAGCCTGGCCTATTAAGGACATATGAGGATATAGATGGGAAAATCTAGGATGAGAATAGCCAAGAAAGGCTCCCTAGTTCTCTTCTCATCAGGACACTTTCTGTTTCCCAAACTAGACCCCCTCCCTCCTTGGAGGACAAGCACTCACCTGGCTGGGGCTCTGGCTTTAGTCCGCAGACCTGTAGAGGAACCAACAGAGTGTCAGTGTGCCATCCATAATGGCATCTTTCCTCCCTGCCTTCTCTGCTCGTCCTACTCTGAGACATCCTTGGAGAGACCAGGGCAGCACAGCAGCTCTGCCGAAACCCATCTGGGAAGGGCCAGGGACTCAGACCAGGCACACAGCTGGCACTGAGTCCACCCACACGTGTCCTGCTATTGTCCTCAACACCAAATTAGGGGAGCAGCTCTTCTCTGCATCCTGTGTCCCTTTATCTTGCCACTCTCCTCCGCCTGTTCCTGTGCATCCTACTCCCTTCCTTGAACTCTTCCCCCATCTGCTCCTTCCACTGCTGAGCCCTGGCCCACCCTCCCTCTCCCTCCCCCTCCCCCATCTTGTCACAGGCACCACTGCTCCCTCCTGCCCTGACAAACCAGCTTCTTGTGCTTTCCTTCTGAATGGTGGCTGTTTCTCTCTCCCACCTCATAAACCTCATGGCTGGAATCCGTGTTTGCCCTGCAGTCCACTCCCCTCCATGTTTTCCGCCGAAATCTCTGCTGTTCCTCCCGTGCCCTCCCCCCTCTACATCTTCCTCAAGTGTCCCTGCAGCATTTCCCAAGGATTTGGCCTCCAGTTCACACAAAATCTCTCCATCACCCTTCACCTTCCTGAGAGGACTCATCATCCACGGGACAAACCTCTAATGCACTGGACTTGCTCATACCCCAACTCCAGCGACCTCCACTCCACTCAGCCATCCCCTGGACTTTATATTTTTAATCCCTGGGACTGCTGAGAACTCTGAAATATTAAATGCTAGTATCATTTTTATGCTACAACTTTCTTTCCTTCCAGTTCTCTCTTGTCATCATCCCCCTACACCTGTGCTTTGATCTCCCTGAACTCTTGTTCTTTGATCATCCACTTTCTCTGAGGTTATTCAAGCTCCCTGCTGAGTCCTCCACCCTCCCTTTGTGCCCTCTCACCAGCTCCTTGACCTTCCATGTTCCCCTGTCCTTCTACCACACTGAGTTGACAAATCTCCAATTCTGCATGTCTCTTATGGCACGGAATGCTATTTGTTTACTTAATATCCACTCACCTCTTCTTACTCAGTTACAGAAACTTGGTTTTATTTGAAGTGGCAAGTGCTCCCCTACAGATAGATGTGGGACATATGACTAAATTCTAGCCTATATGATATAAGGAGAAGTGTGTGTGGGACTAGGTAGGCTCCTTAAAATGAGGACAGACAACTGGGGCTTAGTCTTTTGTCCTATCATCCTTCCTCCTGTTTCCTGGTGGATTTGGAAATAATGGCCAGAGTCTTAGCAGCCATCTTGGACCATGAGGCAATCTTTAAGACAGAAGCCAGTATCCAGGGCAATGAGACTGAATGCCTTAGGCAGTGGCCTCTGCTGTTTGCCTCCAGATCCTTTTATATGAAGGAAAAACCAGTAAACTCTGTGTTATTTAAGCTATGGTCGCTTCTGGTCTCTAGTGCTAGCAGCTAAACAGAATTCCTAATTGACAGATCCTAAAATATACTAAACTACATGGTTGAATACTGATGGGGAAAAAAACAATAATGTTCAATGATACATCTACTGATTTATGGTTTCTCATCTGAGTTGAGTCTTTAAATACCATCTTCAATTTCCTCAGTGATTATGTAATATTTTCTCTTCATCTTTGGCCCTTATCCTCACTCTCAGGAGACAACCACTGTGGTTTTTCTCCTTGCAGAATTAAAAAAAAATTTGTATGGAGTTGAACTTCAATATTTTTATTCTTGGCTTTTGGGTTTTAGCTTTATTTAAAGAGGCCATTTCCACTCCATGGTTATAAAATAGTCTCACATGCTTTCTTCTAGTACGGGTTATTTTTTTCTTCATTTGAATCTTTGATCATCATGGAATTCATTTTGGTGCAAATTATGAGGTACAGAGATAGCGTTACTTTTTCTCAGATGTTTACACAATTGTTCCAGCACAATGCATTGAATTACTCACCTTTACCCATTGATTTGAAATGTTACCTTTTGGAGTTCCAGCCAAGTTGGTGGAGTAGGTAAACACTTCTTGCATCCTCTCATGACCATGTCAAAATTAAAACTGAACATCAGAACAACCATCATTGAGATTTGCCTGAAGTTTGGCTGAACAGAAATCCTGCAGCTAAGGATATACAGAAGAAGTCACATCAAGACTGGTAGGAGGGGTCGATATGTAGAATGGGCTGGTCCATACATGCATGGCAGTTGAAAATTGGAAAGGATATCTTGGCTGTGGAGGTACCCTCTGAGGAGTGAGGGGACCCAACCCCACACCAGACTCCCCAGCCCAGGGTTCCATTGCCGGGGAAGAGAAGTCCCCATGAGGAAGGATAAGTAGCCTAGGAAACGAACCCACCCCTTCCAGAATACAATGTGAGGCACCTCCCTAGTTTGTTTCAGTTTCACAAGAAACAGTACCCGGCACCTGCAGCTAGAGAAAAACAGGAACAAGTTTTATTATCATGGCCAGTGTCCCTGACCAGGAACTGACCTTTATCTAATTTTAATGTCATTTATATTGTGGATACTGAGACTCCCATCATGCATCTGATGCCATGACAGATCCAAAGGCACCAAATAAGGAAGAAATAGCAGGAAACAAAGGGTCCTACCCAGGGGTAGCAGAAAACAATGGGATGTCACCAAGTCCTGCCCCTGGGAGCGATAAAAATCGCTGATCAGGACTTCCTTGGGGTGACTCAATTTCTGAGTTCACCTGCACTTCCTTCTCAAGTGTTAACTCCTTGTGCTTTCCTGCATCTGTCTTGCTGTTAAATTCTTTCTTCCATAGAGACAAGAAACCACATCACTGCTCATCTTGGTTGAGTCCTCTCTTGAACATCCCTGTGAGCCTCTGGGCAACATCCACAACTTCTGGCTATGAAAATAAGAGGAGATTGTTGTTGAGTAAGATGTAGGGCAGCTGTACTCTCAGGCACTCCTCTTAAAGAATCCGTGCATGGACTTAATCACTGGTGGACTCACTCACTCCGAGCTCCAGTGCTGGGTCAGCAGCTTGAAAAGTATCAGGGACATACCCAGCATGGGTGGCGGCCATCTGCAAATTGCTTTGTGACTCATACCAGCTGGTCCCAGGAAAGGCATAAGCTATGGTTGAACTTGACCAGTGGTGGGACTCTGTTCATGAGGCTCCAGGGCCAGCACACCTGGTAGCAAGCTTCAGACTGAGCTGGAGCACCACCCAACCACCTCTACAAACAACACACCCAAAAGACAGAGTTGGAAGGCACCAGAATCCTGCTAAAATAAATCCTGCTCTATAGGGTCAGTCCCTACCAACAGCTCCTCTGCTGTAGCCACGGACAGTCCTCACAACGAATCAGCGCAAGGATCAATCCCTTCCATTGACATACAAACAGCAACCAAGGGTCAACTACAACAGGAGAGCACACACAAACCACACAAGAGACACACCTGGAGCACCTTGCTCAGGTGACCAGGGAGGCTGCACCACTGGGCTCCACAGGACACCTACTACATAAGGCCATTCTACCAAGACCAGGAGGCATAGCAGCCCTACCTAACACATAGAAGCAAACACAGGGAGGCAGCCATAGTGAGGAGACAAAGAAACATGTCCCAAATGAAAGAACAGAACCAAGTTCTAGAAAAAGAATGAAACAAAATGGAGATAAGCAATCTGCTAGATGCAGAGTTCAAAACACTGGTTATCAGAATGCTCAATGATCTTAGTGAGAACTTCAACAAAGAGATAGGAAATGTAAAATGCAGACAAAAAAACAAAAAATAACCAGTCAAAAATGAAGAATACAATAACTGAAATGAAAAATTCATAAGCTGGCTGAGTGGCTCAGTTGGTTAAGAGTTTGTTCAAGAGTGCGAGCTCTGAGCAACAGTGTCACCGTTCAATTCCCACATGGGCCAATGAGCTGAGCCCAAGTTGAGCTGCCGCTGAGCTTCAAACAGGCAACAGGATGGCTCAGTTTGTGAGAGCATGTGCTCCTAACAAGGTTGCCTGTTTGAGATGATGGGCTACACCCACCCACAACTGAAAAAAGACTGAAATCAGCACCTTGAGCTGAGCTGCAGCCCGGGTGGCTTAGGGGATAGAGTGCACACTCTTAACAACAAGGCTGCCAATTCGACTCTTGCATGGAATGGTAGCTATGCCCATCCACAACTAATTGAACACAGCACGTTGAGCTGAGTGGTGTGACTGAACTTGGAGCTGAGCTTGCTGTGCCCTCCACAACTAAGATTGAAAGACAACAACTTGGCTATTCCCCTTCTCCAGTTCCCCAACACTGTTCCCCTCCCCCAATTCCTCAATAAAATCTTTAAAAAAAAGAATTAATTAGAGGGGATCAACAGTAGATTAGATGAAGCAGGGGATCGAGTCAACAATTTGGAAGATAAGGTAGCATAAAACACCCAATCAGAACATCAAAAAAGAAAAAAAAACTCCCCCCAAATGAGGATAGTTTAAAGGACTTCTGGCACAAATTCAAGCATAACAACAGTTGCATCATAGGGGTACCAGAAGGAGAAGAGGGAGAGCAAAGGCTTGAAAGCCTATTTGGAGAAATATTGATGAAAAACTTTCCTAACCTGGCAAAGGAAATAGACATACAAGCCTAGAAAGCACAGAGATTCCCAAACAAGATGAACCCAAAGAGGCCCACACCAAGACACATCATAATTAAAATACCAAAGGTTAAAGACAAAGAGGGAATCTTAAAAGAAGCAAGAGAAGGGCAGTTAGTTACCTACAAGGGAGCCCCCATAAGACTGTCAGCTAATTTCTCAACAAAAACTTTGCAGGCCAAAAAGGATTGGCACGAAATATTCAAAGTGATGAAAAGCAAAGACCTACCTCCAAGAGTACTCTACCCAGCAATGCTGTAATTTAGATTTGAAGGATAGATAAAGAGTTTCCCAGGCAAAAAAAAAGTTGAAGGAGTTCATGAACACAAAATCAGTATTTCAAGAAGTATTAAAAGGATTTCTTTAAGTGGAAGAAGAAAAAAAAATTATATATATATATATATATACATATATATATATACATATATATATATATGTATATATTAATAAAATGGCAATAACTACATATCTACCAACAGTTATTTTAATGTAAATGGGTTAAATGCTCCAATTAGAAGACAGGGTGGCTGAATGGATAAGAAAACAAGAACCTTGTGTACGCTACCTACAAGAGACTCATTTCAGATCAAAAGACCACACAGACTGAAAGTAAAGGGATGAAAAAAGATATTTCATGAAAATTGGGGGGGGGGAGGAAAAAATATGAAAGAGAGAGAGAGAGAGAGAGAGAGAGAGAGAGAGAGAGAGAGAGAAAGAAAAGAAAGAAAGAAAGAAAGAAAGAAAGAAAGAAAGAAAGAAAGAAAGAAAGAAAGAAAGAAAGAAAGAAACTAAATAAGCGAGGGTAGCAGCACTTATACCAGATAAAACAGACTTTAAAACAAAGGCTATAGCAAGAGACAAAGAAGGACCCACCAGTCCCACCTCTGAATATTTATCTGAAGAAACCCAAAACACTACTTGGAAAGGACATGTACATTCATATGTCCATTGTAGCATTATTTACAATAGGAAACAAACTCATAGATATAGAGAATATTTTGGTGGTTGTCAGATGGGAGGTGGATCGGGGGTTGGGTGAGAAAGGGGAAGAAATTAAGAAGTACAAATAGGTATGTCATGGGGATATAAAGTATAGCTTAAGGAATATAGTCAATAATATTGTAATATGTATGTATAATGTCAACGAGTACTAGATTTATCGGGGTGATCACTTGGTAAATAATATAAATGTCTAATCATTATGTTGTACACCTGAAGCTAATATATTTTATATCAACTGTAATTGACAAATTAAAAATTATTTAAAAAACAAACAACAACATAAAAGGAATGCTACTTTTTAACCTTCTAAATTCCCACATATATTTGGGTCTGTTTTCATACTGCCTATATTTGAATTTTACTCTTTTCTTCCATTACTTTCTCTATGTATTAATATGCCAGTATTTCATCATTTTAATTATGGTAGCTAAATAATTATAAGTGCTAATGCTTATATAGCGCTTACTTTGTGCCAAGAGCTATTCTAAATGCATTACATTTAATCGCCATGACAACCCCTGGTAATTACTATCATTATCCCCACTTTACTGATGAGTAAGTTGAGACACATAGTAATATTACCATTGTGTCAGCCCGGATTGACTTCAGAAAGTCAGATTTTATGCTCTTCATCTCTGTTCTTTAGTATCTAATAGGGAAAATCTCCTCTCGTTGAAAATTTTCTTTAAAGCAATTTCAAATCAATTTTGGAGGGTATTTGGACATAAATAATAGAGGCCTCTAACCCTGTTCCCTCTGAGCTGTAAATGCACACATCCAAATTTCTGATGGACATCTCTATTCAGATGCCACAAAGGTATCTTAAATATAACCTATCCCAAACTAGAGGAAGTCTCTGACCTCCTATGTTCCCTGATTCACTTGGTGGTGTCATCACACCCTTCTTCACTCAAGTTGTAAACATGGGACTTCTTCCTGCTCCCTCGCCCCTACATCAATCCAATCCCCAAGCTTTACTGGTTTTTGTTTTGTTTTGTTTTGTTAAGATTTTATTGGGGAATTGGGGAAGGGAACAGTGTTAGGAAATTGGGGAAGGGAAAATTGTGTTTTTCCAGGACCCATCAGCTCCAACTCAAGTTGTTGCCCTTCAACCTTAGTTGAGCATGGGTGCAGCCCACCATCCCATGCGGGAGTTGAACCGGCAACCTTGTTGTTAAGAACATGCGCTCTCACCAGCTGAGCCATCCGGCCGCCCGTTGGCAGCTCAGCGACAGCTCAGCTTGGGCACAGCTCACTGGCCCATGTGGAAATAGAACCGGTGACCCTCTTGCTCAGAGCTTGTGCTCTTAACCAACTGCGTCACCTGGCCAGCTCTTACTGGTCTTTTTTAACCTTTTCCAGAATCTGGCTCACTCCCTCCACCCACACTGCCACTACATTAGACTGGCTCAAGCCAGTCCCACCTCCATCCCTTCCACCACAGGCTAATGTATCTGGAAGGTGGAGTGAAGTTGTCACTTGGCTGTCTCACATTGCCTCTGGGGTCTGAGGCTCTTGGGTATGATTTACAAGGCCTCTTCTCCTGCCTCCTTCAGAGCACTGAGCTTCTTACAGTTTCCAGAATTGTTTCCTCTGCTTGGAAGAACAGTGACCTCAACACCACCTTCACCACTTCCCTGGCTAATTTTTTTTTATTCTTTGAGATTTTTTTGCAGGTGTCACTTCCTCTGGGAAGCCCTCCTTGATTACTCCTCCTTCATTCCAAATGAGGCAACTGCCCTCTCTCCTGCCTTCACCCTCTGAGTTTCTTTAAATCAGGGCTTCTTCATTATTTACTTGTTATCTCTACTCACAAGCTAGGCCCTAGAAAATAGGCAGTCAACCAATGCTTGCTGAGCTATGCTAACTTCCTTCTGCCCTCCCCTTACTTTTTCAGGGTAGATCCTCTCTCCCCATGAACCAAAAGGTAAGCACTGATGAGAAATTATTAAGTCAAGAAAAAGGACTAGAATATGATCAGATTGGTGGAGAAGGGTTGGTCAAACATGATGGGTCTCAAACTTGATCGCTCAGATATGCCACTTGAGGAGACTGTTAACAATGCAGATTCTCAAGTCCAGACCTCACCCCAGCAGGGATTTGCATTTTTAGCAGGCACTAGTGGTTATTCTCACGCAGGAGGGTTCTGAGAAACATCCAGTTGGGAAGGTTGGGGAGAGGGCAGGGTCCTTGACCACTTACCTTTGCTTCTCTTCCACCTGAGGTAGACCATCACTCCCAAAATTACAATTTTGAGCACAGCGGTGAACAATGCTATGCCAATCACAGCTTCCATACTCAGGGACCAAGACCCTGAGCACTTTTTGCCCCCTGAGACACTGAGGCCATCTGTGGTGGCGGCAGCGGTGGTGCTGGGGACTTGGGTGGTTTTCTTGGGGGCTGAGAAGACATGAGAAATAAACAAATTGTCCCCTGGAGCATTGGAGGCATCTGGGTGAAGCTGTCACACCCTGTTTTCTAGTTTGGGGAATACTGGGGATGGGGAGCAACCCTCTGAAGCTCTCACACAGGGAGAGGAGTAACAAGGTGAAATGCTGAAGGCTGAGAATCCACATCACTCAGTGTAAATCCTGACTCTACTACTGATCAGTGGTCTGACCTCAGAACCTTGTTTCATCACCTACAAATAGGGATAACTAGATCATTGGGTTAAAGAAATTTTTTTGTGGTAAAAGACACATAACAAAATGTACCACTTTAACCATATTTAAGTGTACTGTTCAGTGACATTAATTACATTCGCATTGTTGTACAACTTTTACCACTATCCATCTCCAAGACTTTTTCATCTTCCCAAACTGAAACTCTGTCCCCATTAAACAGCTCCCCGTTTTCCCCACCCCAGCCCCTCATAATCTCTAGTCTATTTTCTGTCTCTATGAATCTGCCTACTCTAGGGACCGCATATAAGTGAAATCAAACTGTTTTCCCTTTTACAGGGTTGTTTTTTAATAAGTGAGAAAACATCTATAAAGCACATCGTGTATAATGGAATGTGATTTTAAGGTTATATTAATATCTAAGTCCTATAAACAGCACGGTGGTTAAGATGGGGCAGTGATTTACCCAAGGAGGGAAGGGTGGGGCTTGGAGGGCATCCTTTCCAGTCCAGAGCAGCAATTCATCACTGACATAATCAGAATTACCAGAGCAAGTGATTATTAAAAGCAAACCAACTTAGTTAACTGTTAGTTTTCTAAAAAATTTTCTATAGACAAGGCACCCCCTCATTGCCTGTGCCTCAGAGACAGCCCCTCGCCCACTGCCCTGAAGACAGATAAATGCAGCTTTGGGTTCTGATGCCCATTGAGTAATAAGATGATCTATTAATGCAACACACTCCATTATTGGGTTCAAAATAGATCAAAACAACATGATGATCAAGTCAATATTTAAGGTCCAGCAGCTAATTGATAAGAGAATAGTCTGTATAGGTTAAACTGGGTTCAAATCCCACCTGCATCACAAGAGCGACTTTGGGCAGGTGTTTAGGCTCTGCAGGCCTCGGTTTCCCCAAGTGGAACAGGAAGATGATAGAAGTACCTGCTGTTACTGTGAGGTTGTGCAGGTTAACTAGCACGATGCATACGAAAGTTTCAGCCGGGTCGCGGTACACAGTAAGCGGGAGCTGCTGTTACTGCTGCTACAGAGGGGCCTCTAACGACCAGCACAGAGGAGCAGGATCAGAGTGGAGAAGGGGACAACACAGGGGCTCCTGGGGGAGAGGTGGGGACTGGGGTCCAGTGAGAGGCGAGGAGGGTGAGGAGGATAGAGACTGGAAGAGTGAGGAAAGAGGTATGATGGAGTGGGGAGAATTGAGAGCCATGTTCTAGGGAGCAGAGTGGGAGAAGGAAGGAGAGAGACTGGGAAAACAGGTGAAGGGGTGTTACCAGGGAACCGGGGGCTCCTCAGGGCGTTGTTGGGTACCTACTGTGGGTACCAGGCTGAGCTCCTGGCTGTGGGGAGACACTGAGTTGGGAATAGCTAAAGCTCCACACACGGACACATGACAAAAGGAAGGCAGGCCACATCCTGAAGAAGTGAAATCCACCTTGAACATGGGGTGAGGGCACGGGGCAGGGCTAGAGCCCCAGTGTGGAGGGTAACTGGGGAGCCCAGAAAGTGCTGAGGTCTGGGGATGGGGGTGTGGGCTGGATCTGGAGGAGGTAGTGAGGGAAAGGGCAAGGCAGGCCAGGTTTGCGGGAGATTTAGGTGGAAAGGGTAAAGCTGGCAGAGGCCTGGGGTAGAGTTGGGGTGGGCAGGGAGAGGAGTTTGAGAGAAGGGTCAGGAAGAGTGGGGCCTGGACCAAGGCTGGGGGACGAGGGCACCAGTGGCCTTCGAAAGCCTCAGCCAGGGCAGCTAGACTCACCTCGGGTGATGGTGAGTCTGGTCCCAGGCATGGACTGCCACACCACCTCCTCATGTTTCTTGAGGGTCAAATAGACTCGGCAGAAGTACAGACTCTCGTCTTCCTTCCGCAGGTTAGAGATCTGGAGGTAGCCGTTCTCCCAGCTCTCTGTCCAATTCAGGAAGAGCCGGTTCTGGAAATCCGTATGGATGAAATGCGGGGTCATGTTGTAGATGAACGCCCCATGGAAATCTTTCCATCTCCAGGTTATACGCACACTGAGAACACTGGCTGACTCCCAGGGGTGACAGAAGGAGAAGGGGATGTGGATGGAGCCACCCTTGGGGGCTGAGAGCCGCTTTGGTTGGTTGACCTCATACCGAGCGTCTGAATTGCACTTTATCGAGCTGCCTGAAGGAGGAAGGGAGAGGGAGAAACCTCAAAGTGGCGGTGGTGGTGGATGGGGTCAAAGAGAAAGCCCCAGACCAGCTGGCACCCTCACCCAAGGGCAGAAGTGTGACAGATGGTAGGACTGGTCCTCTGGCTGGGTGTCCCCCTCTCCAGGCTTGGGGTAGGAGTAGGGTGAGGGGTGGAGGGACCTAACACTGTGGGACCAACTCTTTGCTTGTTGGAGATGGCTGGCCACCCCAGCAGGCCCTTTCTACACCCAGCTTCAGGCCCCCCCGGGGGCTCCCCCATGGCCCTGGGCAGAGCCAGGATGGTCCCGGCCACTCACCATTCTGCAGAAACGCCGGCAGCAGCAGCAGGGGCAGCAGCAGGGGCAGACTCATCACCTTGCTCTCCTCCAGGGAGATGAGAAGACAAGCACAGACCTCAAGGCCAGAGGGGAGGCCCTAGGAGGCACCACCTCAGGGAAGTCTGTGCTGCAGGAGAGGAACCATCAGGCTCCTTCAGAAGGCGGAGGAAGGGTGGGAACCTTCCCCAATTCTGCAGCCCCAGAGTGACCAGCACTTCCTTTATCAATCTGGCTTCTTCTTTTCTTATATTGCAAAAGGACCTCCCTTTTGGCCAGTGCAAAGAGAACGGTGATATAGGGTCCCAGCCTCCATTTTCACACTGAAGGGCGTGGTCCTGACATTGGTTTGCTGGGGCCTCTTCTCCCTCACCTCAAGTCCCTGCCTCTGCCAGAGTCCTCCTCTCTGTCTCTCACTTTCTATCCTTTTCTCTGCTTCTCTGAGTGTCTCTCAGCCTCTGTCTCTCATCCCAGCGAAGGGATGGCAGCAGGACCAGCTCTGGCCCTTTCAGGGAAGGAAAGGCGGCCATGAGTCCCTGCCCAGCTACAACTGCTTAGAGAGAAGGAGCAGGGAGCCTATGTGGTCAGATAACCTCAGGCCCCAGCCCCAGCCCCAGAAGCACCCAGCTTGCTCTTGTTCCCTCTCCCTCCCCTCCAGTCCCCAGGCAGAACCAAGGCCCACCAGGCCAGGTCGCTTCCCTTTGTGCAGTCTCACACCCTCCCTGAGGTTAAGAAGTGAGGGTGGGCTCACTCCCACCTCCCTAGAGAGAGGGCCTCCTGGAGGCCATGCCTCCACCCACTGGATCTGCAGGGCCCTCTGTCCTCTCCACTGTACAGATGAGGAGACCAAGGCTCAGGGAGGCTGTGCCCCAAGTCCGTGACTCTCAAGTGACAGATGTGGGACTCAAACTCCAACCTCGCTGACTCCACAGAGCTTCTGCTGCTTCTGGATGCTTCTGTCTGGTTGCACCACAGACTCTCTGGGCCTCAGCTTCTGAGTGCAGAGATCTGGGGTGTGAGTCCCAGGAGGCTGTGTTTATGCTCCTGTGGTGATTCCATGAACAGCTGTTAGAGCCCTGGCTAATGCAGAGCCTTCCTTGGACACAGGGGATAAAGACTCAGAACAGTAATGATTCACCCCAGTGACAGTCCCTGGGACTGTCTCCAGTTAAGGGCACTGCCAGCCTTGGACTGGTTGTGGATGGACTGAGAGAAAGGAGGCTGGAACCCATGTTGACTTACAGGGCTGGCTCCATAGGAGGCTCTGCCCACCCCCTCTCCAGGATGAGGTGGACGTTAGCCTTCTACATAGACTGTGGGGATGGAAGGACGTGGTTTCATCAGAGGAAGTGGCCTTATTCTTCTGGAGGATAAAGCAGCAGACTGCCTTCCTTTTTCCTTCTCTCAGTTTCTTCCCCAATCTTAGTAATTTTTTCCAAGCTTTTCCCACGTCCAGCTAGGCAGCCCCTGCTCTCTCTGTGTCTGCTTTTTTTTCATCTCTCCTCCAAGGCCTGAAAAGAGAGGTTCTGCATTTTCATGAAACCTTCTTATCTGAATCAGGCCCTAAATATCCATTGCCTTATTTTCAGCTTTACAACATTCTGTGGTTGGTATATTGTTATCTCCACTTTACCCATGAGGAAAGTGAGGCATAGAGCCTTGATGTCATGGAGTCTTTTGGGCTGTGAACGATGCTTGGGTTAACTGGTAACAGCTAGAAATGTGGGCAGAAGAGAGGACAAGGGACCCACTGGCTTCTCAGCAGGGAATCCAAAGGGTGGCCTGCCCTATCTGAGGGGTGATTCCTGGGTTCTATTCCTGCCCTGCCCCAAAAACTGTGGGTCCAAAAACTGTGGGTCTTCTTCTTGCCAGGCTGCCAGGAGAGGGTGCTGGACCCCACCAGGTGGCAGTTCTGTCCATTCCATTGGGCAGCACAGACCATTTACAAAACAGGCTCTGGGTAACATTCACAGAGTACCTGCTGTCTTGGTGCCTCAGGCTCAACTGCTCCCATGTGTGGTCTCCCTGGATGTAAGTGGTGTATTTCATTGATTCCCATGAGAATAGGAATTATGAAGCATAATTTGTACCTTTGGACCCTCTTCACCCATTTCAACCATGCCTCATACCCCATCCTTGGCAACCACCAGTCTATTCTCTGTAATCTTGAGCTCATTTTTTTAATGTTTTTTTTTTGTTTCTGCTTTCCACATATAAGTGGGATCATATGGTATTTGTCTTTCTCTCTTTGACTTATCTCACTTAGCGTAATGCCCTCAAAGTCCATCCATGTTGTTGCAAATGGCAAGATATCTTTCTTTCTTTTTATTATGGCTGAATAATATACCATTGTGTATATATCTCACATCTTCTTTGTCCATTCGTCTATCAATGTTGTTTCCATGTCTTGGCTATTACAAATAACGCTGCAGTGAATATAGAAGGGCAGATATCTTTTTGAGTTAGTTTTTTTCTTCTTCAGATAAATACCCAGGAGTGGAACAGCTGGATCATATCAATAATCTCTTGTCTGAGTGAAGTTTGACTTTTGTCATTCATTTAGAAAATCAACTATATGTCCTAAGTTATTAGATATTTGAAATGTTTGTTGTTTTGTAGCTGAATAGTGCTTTAGCTGAGTGTAAACTTCTTGGGTTTTTTAGTGTGTGGGCTTTGCAAGCATTGTTCCACTGTCTTCTAGCGTTGAACATTGCTGCTTATTAATCTAAGTCAATAAAAACTTTTCTCTTATAGGTTGCTTAAGCCTTTTTTTACTTAAATGCCCAAAGGCTTCTTTCTTTATCTTTAAAAGCCCAGTGGTGCATTGGTTAAAAGCTGGCTTGGGATGCCAGCTCTGAGCAGCAGGGCCCTGGTTTGGATCCCACATGAGTGACACTGCCCTCTACAGCTAAGATGAACAACAGCTTGACCTGGAGCTGGGCTGGCGTGAGTCCACCGGCTACAGCATAGGCTGCAGCCCTTGCTGCAGTGGGCTGCCATAAGCTACTGTGAGTGGCTGGCAGCCAGCGTGAGCGGCCAGCAGCTGGTATGAGCTTCCAAGAGCTGCTGTGAGTGGCTGTCCAGAGGCCGGTGACCGATCTGCCTCACCCAGGAAGAGCGCAATGATAATACCAACATGGGCCAGTGAAGCAACGTCCTCCACAACTAGGCTGAAGAACAAAAGGACAGCAACTTGTCTGTTCCCCTTCCCTGATTCCCCAATGCTATTTCCCTCCCCCAATTCCCCAATAAAATATTTTTTAAAAAGCCCATGATTTTACAAGTGATGCCTCCATGCTGGCTGTTTTGTGTTAAATTTTCTTGTATGTACATAATAACACAAATTTCAAGCATGTGAAAGAAAAATGGTCTAAATTGCAAGAAGTTAAAAAATCCACAATTGACCCAGCAATCCCTCCCTCTCTTGGGTATTTACCCCCAAAATCTGAAAACATTTATCTGTAAAGATATATGTACTTCAATGTTCATTGCAGCTTTATTTACGATGGCTAAGACATGGAAACAACTGAAGTGTCCTTTGATAGATGATTGGATAAAGAAGTTGTGGTATATATACACAAAGAAATACTATTCTGCCATAAGAAAAAATGAAATAGTGCCATTTGCAGCAACATGGATGGATCTTGAGATTATAATGCTAAGCAGAATAAGTCAGACAGAAAAAATAGAGAACCATATGATTTCACTGATATATGGTATATAAAACTGAAAACAACAAAAGAACAAGAAAAACAAATAAAGAAACAAAACTCATAGACATAGACAATAGTTTAGTGGTTACCAGAGGGTAAGGGGGAAGGGGAGATGGTAGATGAGGATAAAGGGGGTCAAATATATGGTGATGGAAAGAGAACTGACTCTGGGTGGTGAACACACAATGTGATATATAGATGATGTATTACAGAATTGTACACCTGAAATCTATGTAACTTTGCTAACAATTCTCACCCCAATACATTTTAATTAAAAAAAAAATCCACAATTGCATGAGTTATGATCTGGGTTCAGCTATGAATAATAGATACAAACAAACAAACAAATTCCAGGAGCTTAAACAACTTAGAAAAAAAATCTTTTTCTCACATAATGAGAAGTCTGGAAGTAGGCAGCCTAGGACTGGCACAGTAGATTTGTGACACCAGTAAAGACCCTAACTCCTTGTATCTTTCATTTCAACCAACCTTAGCATGTGCTTTGTTTCCTGTGGTCACAAGATGTCTGCCCCCTCTCAGCACTGTATCTGCCTCTTAGGAGGTAAAAATGAGAAAGAGAAAAGGGCAAAAGACATTTACCATTCAAGTCTCTATGCTTACTACAGAACTTTTCTGAAGCCCAATTCAGAGATGTCAGCTTATATAGGTCAATGGCTAGAACGGCAATCTCTAGTTGCAAGAAAGTCTGGGAAATGTGGCTTTTTCACCCAGCACTTGGCTACCTTGGCTGGGAGTGGCAATCAAGATTTTATTAGTAAGGAGAAAAGAACAGACTTAAGTGGGAAACTATTAGCTTCTGCCACATTATCCTTTCAATTTAAACTTTAAATAGTAAAATATTTAAAAGTTCATTTGGAAAAGTTTGACATTGCTTTGTGGTTTTTTTAAAATCAGGAAATATAGTTCAGCCACATGGGGACTGTGGTAGCCACGAGAAAGTGGCTCACAAACCTCCAATTACAGGGAGCATAATTGACCAAGGGCCTCCTGTCATGCTCTGAAAGGGCCAGTGGTCCATTCTCACAAGTTTGGGTATATAGTCCAGGTACAACTTTCCTTTTCCTGTCTGCAGAGCCTGAGCCAGCACTATTATCCTGGGGCTTGTTGATTATAGTCCATTTGGGGATCCATGGAATCCCACACAGGTTAGCACCCAACTAGAGGACCCATTTCACAGAGAAAGAGAAGTGGACTGAGGCCCTGACCATGGTATCCACTGTTCCTATCACATAGTATCCCACTCAGAGGCAGCCAGCCTCGCAGAACCCTGGAATGGCCTTCGGAAGGTGCAGCAGAAACCCCAGCCTGGAGGAAACACTCTAATAAGTTGGCTTGCTATGCTTCAGTGTATGTTAGATCAGAGACCCCTATTTTGGGCTGTGTCTCTGATAGGAATCAAGGGTTAGAAGCATTGCACCCAATGATTCACTGGGATTCTGTGCTTCTTATCTCTGCAACTCTGGGCTCCTCAGGGTTGGAGGTCTTCACCCCCAAAAGGGGGCACACTCTTGCTCAGGGATACAGCAATGATGCCATGGACTTGCACTTACTGCTGCCATCAGGACACTTTGGGCTCCTGTGCAAGACAAGTCGCCAATTTGGCAGATAGTTAATCAGCAAGAGGAGATAGGGCCACTTGCACACCGTGGGAACAGGGAGGAATCTATGTGGAATGCAGATGGTCCCTTGGCCATCTCCTGGCACTCCGCACACCACTGTAACTGTGAACAGATGGGTGCAGCAAACCCACACTGAGAAGGACATGTTTATCAATGATTCATGTCCCTCAGGAATGGAGCTTTGGTCCAACTACCAAGTAAGCCACCAAGATTTGCTGAGGGGAAAGCTGAGGATGAAGG